GGGATATACGGTTGCACTACTAGGATTGATGGGTGGGGTGATAAGAGAAATAAAAGCATTATGAGCTTGATGGTGACCGTCCATTAGGGACAATGTTATTAAAATCTATTGAAGCTTCTGACAAGTCCAATGATGTGGAATTTATTTGTGATTTGGTGGACAAGTGCATAGAGGTGGTGGGGGAGGGGTCTACAAGTAGTGACCGATATGTAGTCAGCCAATATGGCAGCCACTAGGTTATTGATGGAGAAGAGGCCACACATTTTTTGGTCGCCTTGTGCAACTCATTGCATAGACCAAATGATTGAGGCGATACCAAGAGGAAGTCGATGAAGACAAACATCAAAAAAGCGAAGAACAACACAGTCTATATATACAGTCACACTCAGGTAAGAACATGAGTTTTATACTGTGTATGCTTTGTTGTTACCTTTTTTTATTCTTTTGAATACATACATGTAATGTCATTATGTGATGTCACTGTAAGTACGTAACTTAGGGGATTTATGTTGACGAGGTCTTAGCCATGATGAAGAAGTTCACAAAGGGTAGAGACTTGTTGAGAGTTTGGGTGACTAGATTTGCCACCTCCCACTTGTCCTTGCAATCTTTGCATGAGCAAAAGGAAAATCTTAGGTTAATGTATGTATCTGAGGATTTGGACCAAGTCCCAGTGGGCGAAGAAATCAGATGGGAAATTTGTTATGGAGATTTTTATGAACGCATGATTTTGGAATAGGGTTCAATATATGCCTCATATGTTTTTCAGCCATTAATAAAGGTACTCAAGATGGTTGATGTCAATGTTTCAAAAGCACTAGGCGGCACCAAGGTGGTCAGGGGGGTCTTGGCCGCGCCCAGCGCCTAGGCGGGCGCTCAGAACCTGAGTGACCCAGTAAATTTTTTTTTTTGGGGTTTTTCTCTCTCTAAAATAGTATCTAATGAGTTTTAGGTTCATTTGAAACCTAAAACCCACAATTTTGCACCTTTAGGATTAAAACAAATGACCCAAAATGACCCAAAAATGGCCTCAATGAGTGGCATTTCCGCCCCTGGGCGGCCGCCTAGGCAGGTTCAGGCGGCCGCCTAGGCGGGCGACCGAGGATACCCGCCTAATTTGGCCGCCTAGGCCTAGGCGATACGCCCCGGCCTTCTGGACCCCATAGGAAGCCGTCCAGGCGCTGGGCGGTCCGCTTTTTGAAACACTGGTTGATGTTGAGAAGGAACCCGTGATGGGTTACATTTATAAAGCTATGGAGGATGCTAAGGAAGAAATCAAGAAATATTTGGGAATGATGAAGCTAGGTATGGAGAATACTTGAAGATTATAAAAGATAAATGGAACTACCAGCTTAAGGAACTCCTACATTTAGCAGGTTTCTCCTTAACCCTTCTCACTCTTATATTAATCATGAGGTACATAGCAAGACTTATTTCATGAAAGCTTTCAACCAATGCAATATCAAACCCAACCCAAATCCTGAAGTCCAAGATACGGTCACAATGGAGTTAGACAAGTACATGCTCTCTACTGGGTCTCTTGGAAAGGAGTTGGCAATAAGGCAAAGAATCAAGATCTCTCCTAGTGAGTTTAGAACTTACTTCATTTTGATTTCATGATTTGAGTATTAATTTTAATTATACAGATACCTTATGTACTACATTTACATTTATGTGAATATTGAATTTGACTTGTAGCTCGTCTGGATGTGGGTGCAACTTTAGCACATTTGAAATGGTATTGTTACTTCCATAGTACTATGGTAATTAGTTGCTTAGTTTATTAGCCTAACCTATGCAATGTTTTTCTAAATTTTAACTGTTCATTCAAACTTTATCTAATAGGTCCATACAAAGAAGAGGAACATACTTGAGCAAAAGCGGCTGGATAACCTAGCCTTTATTCACTATAACCAAAAGTTGCAGGAGCGCCATCAACAACTAGAGCACAATAAAAGGGAGGCTATTGAAGTTGATGATATGGATAATACTTGTGAGTGGATAGTTGATGCTGGGGAAGATGAGGAATTCCTTGGAGAGAGCTTGACCTGGGTCCAGGTTTGTGAGGCTGTTGAGACACCATTGAGCTCTGTGTGGACCACTCAATCTCAATCTCAAAGCCAAAGGGGAGGGGGAAAGGCAAAGGAGAAGGGGAAGAGGTTGGTGGGATTGAGAGATAAGGATGAAGAGGATGAAGCATGTTCAGATGAGACAAAGGATGATGCTCACTATGCTGAGGAGGGGGATGACTCTAATGATGATGCCATTAACTTTAGTACAAGGAGTCCATGACCATGAGTAATACAAATAGTTCACAACCTTTACATAAATAGTCCATGACTAACACAACATGGGAATCCAGTCACACCATGAGAACACTGACAGTGGAGGGTACTGAAATCAAGAAAAAGAAACAGCAGGGCCTAGGAATTGTCATTTTAAGTTATTCGGGGTGTCAATGAGTGATGACATAGATTTGACTATGACTTTTGATGCTTATGTAAATGTAATTTACTAATATAAATTTGGGTTTTGCTGCAATTTCTGCAATTTGATGATATATGTTTCTTTGTATTATCTATTTTTTATTTTTAAGGAACTCCTTTCTTTCTTTCTTTTTTCTTTTTGTCTTTTCTTTTTTATTTGGGGGGGGGGTGTATCTGTCCTTGTTTCCCAGGCTCCCACATCCAACTTTTTGAACATTTGACTTCTAGTATGTGTTTGACACTCATGTCAGTGTCCATGTTACACTGCATGCAATCGATCTTCGATATTTGTCTAGCTCCAACAAAAGCCCCACTCTCCATAGAGTTCTTCATGGTTACCTCTGGTATTATCAAGGTCTTGACCCTGAAGTACTGCATGACGACAATAACCTTGACATTCTACTTAACAGCTTTTTTTTTTTTTTGGCATTCTACTTAACAACCTTCATGAAAGAATTTTGGTTTGGGAGCTGAACCACATGTTTTCTTGACTTGTAACCCCCCAAGATTCCCATGCATAAATATCTGGAAGGTTGAGCTATCTCATGATCCAAGGCAACCTTGCCTCCACAATCCAAAGAGATTTCCGGAAGGAAACCAAATATGAATACCTAAAACAAAGTATTTCTACAGTTATCTCTACATGAACACAAACATATACAAAAGCAAAGGAAGTAGTCAACAAAGAACATTTGATAATATAATGCATAAAAAGTTAGTAGGGAAGTTACCCTCAATAACAAGCAATCTAAGGAAGTTAAATCCTCCATCCAATAACATTAAGGGAGTTTCCCTCCACAGCAAGCAACTAGAGGATGTTCTTACCGCATTTTCAATCCTATATGTAAAACACAGGCTATGACCTTAGTAGAGTCCACTACACTCCTGGGTCCTATTCAAAGCCTCGGATCTTCCAGACTTACCTTGACCCACTCTTCAGACATTGAATTTCCTCTATTGCACCAATCAAACTTAGCTTCAAAGAACAAGCAGAGTGCAAACGTTTACATCTCTTAAATCGTCAACAAAGGAGCATAACCTCGAAGCAATACAATCCAATTCCCATTGATGGCCTAAACGAATAGCATAATTTCAGATTCAATGGTTTGTCTGCACTATGATGCTCATGAGTTAATATGCTTATACTAAATCGCAAAAGGACATTCACCATCTTGTTTCGGTATCCCATACTCCATGAGAAGAGCACCGACGATGTTTCGATCTTCAAAACCCAAAACATGAGCACCATCCTCATGAAGTAAACTCATTTCATAAACCCATAATGTAAAAAAGATACTCTACAGTCTACATCCTCTTTATCATAAAGAAGATAGAGCACCTAAAAACTAATTGAAAATCCTAGGCTTCAAATGCAAGGGAATTCATCATCCTCCTAAGCGAACACATTATGGAAACAACAGTTGGGGTAAAGCTGTTCAATAGTCAACAAATCCCATAACATGATAAAACAAAACATTAACGAGATGGAACCGGCATTGAAACTTACCTATATTACACACTATTTCAAGAACAAGAAATGACTTGACTCCACCCTACTAAACATCTGGAAAACCTCACCTACATCTCAGTTTGATCACCCTTTCTGGAAATTAGTGATAATCATTTGAGAGTCTACTCTTCACCTTGACCCCCACCTAACATGAGTCCATGAAATTACTAAGGCATAAATTGGCCAAAGTCAATCTATGCATTATGTTTATCCTTCTAAAACCCACTTATCCAATTCCTTAATCGTAAATCTAAGAACCCTGCTACAATCACACTCCTCTAAATTGACCCCTCCAGCCAAAATAAACCAAAACCGTTTCGCAAAAAACACTAATTTACTTATTCAATTTCCATACGGGAAGCTTGGGCCCATAGAAAAAGACATCTGAACCAGTAATGTGAAGGTAAGTTAACAAGAAAACCCATTAAGGCTTGCCTATTCCTCTATTCTCTTCCACATGAATTCCATAGTATTCTCTATAGCATCCGCCCTCCAATAGATGATCTTAGCCTACAAATTTTCAAGGTTCAACAAAGGTTTCGTGCTTTTCTAGTATTGAGTCAACAGTTCGATAATCACAAAGAAAAAAAGAATAAGAACCCTTTGCACAATTGATCAGCTGAGCTAAGGCCAATGGGCATCTTGAATTCGCAAAGCATGGCTTTAAAGCATATCAGAAGAAGGTAATTTCCACCGAAAGTTCACATAAAAACAGGAAAAAAAGATTATTGAGACCTAGAACCTACGTAAAACCCATTACACAGAATAAGAAACCTCAATGAATGCAATGAATGTCACTTAAATCTGCAAAATCCTCTTATTTATTCACAAATTTTCTGCATTTCCTACCTATTATATTTTCTTCTTCTAATCATTTCTCACTTACTGATTTTCTAATGCAATGTTTTAAATGGAGCTCCAATTCCGAATTGTCTTTGGCTATGAGAACGATTTAAGAAAATACATATATCAAATCAAAGAAGAATAAGTTACAGAGAGGGTACCTGTTAGGGAAGAGACATGGGGTTTGGAGTGAATTCTGAGAAAATTTGCAACCCTGGATATCATTTTGAGCTTCAATTCACACAGCAACAAAACAAAAAGAAGCTTCAAAAACCCTAACAAACCTTCTTGTCTTCCGCATCAAATATATACATACATTGAAGCGTAAGCCCGGAAGTTCACACGGAAGTTTGCTAGTTTGGTAAAAGTAAACGTTGTGGTTTGTATAGTGTATAGAGCCTAGGCTCTAAACAATCAAAGTAGACCCTACCTTTAAATAGTGTTGAGAAATATGGTTTCAACACTGAAAATCTTTATAATAGTCTTAAAATATAATTTCATCTTTATTTATAAAGTTTAAAACTTTAAAAATGGTGTAGATCGATAGATCTATAAAAATTTGAAAATCTTGAAAATTGAAGGTAAAAAACAATGCATTACAAAGTACACTATTTCCAAAACTTGAAATCAATTTTTTTCTCATGTCCATGCATCTTGATATTGAGATGATTGATTTAAGGATATTTCGGCATCAAAACAACTAGTGTATCAAAAAGTGTTCGGCGGGCCCTAGAATGAGGAATGAGAGAGGCGTTTCAATCATTCGACAAATGAGCTTTTCTCGAATGACAAAAACACCCCTAATTATTCTGCATTAAAAATAAAAAAACATTATTTTGTATTAATAAGGAAAAGCAATTAGTGGTATTTTTGTCATATTACTAATGCAAAGCATTTAAGTACAGAATGACAAAAATAGCTCTAGGCTTTTTGTATTACAAATAATAAATAAAGCATTATTTATTTATAGGGAAATGTTTCTATACTTCCCCTACAACATAGAAGATCTATGCTTCCCCTACCATCCAGCCGTCCAATTTTGATCAAGAGAGCCACTCATCTTTTGATATTAGATCCGGCATCTCAAAGTATTTTATTTTTAGTTTTTTATAAAAATTGTATGAATACTAAATTGGTACGTGCCATCTTTTCATTGGGGGTGCACCTATAAAAATATATTAAAAATAGTTTTTCGATAAAATATAATGATCAAAATACCCCTTGAAACTTTCAGGGGTATTTTGATCATTTTATTTTATTAGAAATATATTCTTTTATATTTTTCGCTTGTGCGAGTTTAATAGAGGATTGGAAATCCAAAATTTGGTGTAAAAAATGTTTATAGAAAAAAATTAAAAATAAAATAGTGTAGAGACATAACATTGGGTTTGGAACAATCTTTGTCCTCCATTCAGAATGGATGGTTGGATAAGGGGAAGTATATAAGTTTTATGTTGTAGGAAAAGTATAGAAAGCTTGTCCTTATTTATAATACAAAGCAACTAGAGATATTTTTGTTATTTGGGTGAGGCATTTTTGGGTGAGTTTATTGAGATGCGCATTATAGTTTCTCATTATTGAACAAGAGTAATTTGGGTATTTTTAAAAGAATTTTTTTGAGAAAGTATCTTAGTGAAATAAAAAAAAAAAAGAAAAAAAAAAAAAGTATGCTCTTCAATGCTAATGGGGATAATTTGACCGCTTTAACAAAATTTTAAAGGGTTTCACGCCCTGTAATCATATTTTCCCTTCAGTAAACTACATGGCTATGTTTGTTTAATCACTAAACTTCTTTTATCATAATTTTTAGTTATGTTGTTTTATAACGCATGGCTGGAAAGTACTCTGGGTGAGGTTTGTACAAGCTGTCTACCCTATACTGCACAAGTAAGTCTCTAAATTTTGCTAGAAGTTGTAGCATCAGTATCGAAAACCTTATAATAGCTTAAAAGTCTATGTTCAATCTTATTTATAAAATTTAAAATTTTAAAAGTAATGCAAATCGAATAGATTTATAAACACTAGAAAATTTATAAAGTAGACTGTCCAGAAAACTTGTTATAAGATGCACTATGCTTGAAGTTCATTGTTTCTATACATCTCGAAGTCGAGACGATCAATTGGAAGGTTTTTGAACTTCTATACACTCTTTTCTACTACATTTCATACTTCTACGGTTTAATATTTCAACCTTATATAAACGTTTTCCCCTCTCGTTTGAGACATGCAAGCTCCAAAATCTGTTAACATCGTTTAAGGACTAATTAGTATACCCAAACAAGCGGTTATTTGCTGACGAGCTAAAAACCTAGCAAATACCCTTAGGCGGAATTTGGACTCTGAGGAATTATTGCATCTTGCAGGGTCTTTTGGAAGCTTTTATTTCTATAAATTATTTAATTTGGAATTAGAAAATTATGAAGTTTGGAGGGTGGAAAAGTCGAGCCGGACCACCATGCCGATGGCAGTTTCAAGCTAGGCTTGAGCTAAGGCCGCAGTCGCCAGCCCGACCCCTTAATCCCAGACTATGACAAGCCTGGCTAAGGCTACTTTTATAGGGACCCGGACTGGGTTGGGCCAGGGCTGGTTAAGCCCATTGCCGGTTCCATTCATTTGTAATACTTTCTTTGCTATCGGCAATGGAGTGGTGTAGGAGGGAATATGGATTGGGAAGTATTAGTTACAGGTTCAAAACATCGACTCGGCCAAAGTATTCGGGCCCTGGCCGATGTGATGTACTCGGTCGAGTCCAAGTTTCTTGGCCGAGCCAATCTCCTCTTTTCTATTAAACAAAAAATCACGTAAAATAATAAGACATATATAATGAGGAGCAGCGTTCAAAGCGTGCCAGTGGTGTTGAAGTTGCATGCCCATGCTTGTCGCACACCTCTCAAACAGGACGTGGGATCCAATCCCCACATATTTTTGTTGATCTTTTACCTCCAAATGGGTTGTGAGTTCCATGGATTTATTTTGGAGTTTTTTGTATTTTCCCATAACTCTTTTAAAAATATATATTTTTTACTGTATATTGCTTAATGGCGTGGATTTATGTTTTAACTCTATTTTTATTAATGGCTTGGCTTTATTTTAGAGTTGTTCGTTCCATAATTCTCTTAAAAAATATATTTTCTAACTCTATATTTATCAATGGCTTGGATTTAGTTTAGAGCTCTTTTTTCCATAACTCTCTTTAGAAAAAATCTTTTAGAGAAAAATATTGGATTTTATACAGTTCATCGATATTATATCTAGGATGCAATAAATCAATCGATATTGAAGCAAACAAACATAAAGCAATATATGGGTTTTTCAAGTTATTTCAATATCTTATAATAATAATAACAATAATAATGATAATGATAATGATAATGATAATGATAATGATAATGATAATGATAATCATAATAATAATAATAATAATAATAATAATAATAATAATAATAATAATAATAATAATAATAATAATAATAATAATAATAATAATAATAATAATAATAATAACAATATTATTGTTGATAAATTGAAAAAAAATATTAGATTTTATACAGTTCATCAATATTACCTCTATGATGCAATAAATCAAGGGCGTGGTTTCTATAAGGTTGCAACCTTAAGCAATTAAGATGCACCTCCAAATTTTATCATAACATATAATATTGGTGTAAAAATTTTTTAGGATTATCTGAAAATTTATTTTTATATCTAATTAAAAAATTTAAACTCCAAAAATAGTTAAAATCAAGAAGATATGTAAACATATGAAAATCTTGAAAATGGAAGGTCTAGATATTATGTTGCAAGATACACTATTTTTGGCACTCAAAATATATTTTTCCTTCAGATTCGTGCATCTTAATGTCGAGATGATCAATTAGAGAGTTTTTCAATATCAAAACAACTTTTTCCATTACATTTTTGAGGTGCATCTGTAATTCTACATTTTAGGGTTGCAACCTTATATAAACTTTTTCCATAAATCAATCAATATTGAAGCAAAAAAAACACAAAGCAATATAGGAGGTTTTCAAGTTATTTCAATATATTACAATAATAATAATAATAATCATAACATTATTATTGATAAATTAGAGAAAAATATTAGATTTTACAATATTTTGATTGTTCATCTATATTAGCTCTATGTTGCATGAAATCAATTAATATTGGAGCAAAAAAACCACGAATTTGTATAGGGCTGTTGAAGATGATTTCAAAAGCTTCAAAATAAACTAAAAATCATAAAAATTTATAGAGTACTTAGAGAGAAATAATAGAATTGGTGATTTTTTCAGACTAACGACGTTACCTCTTTGATGCACAAAATCAGTCAATAATGGAAAACGAAAACCATTGATCTGTATAGGGCTCTTGAAGCTGATTTTAAAAGCTTCAAAACAAGCAAAAAATCTTTTGATTTGGTGTAGAAATAAGCAAGAACAATGAAGTTTGGTGGGAAAAAGAAAAATAGCGGATTGAACCCTAAAACAGAAACTTTAAGGTGATTAAATATGATAAACACGAGAATCAACGGAGGGCTTTTGTAGATGACTTCAATATATTGAAAAATAAGCCTTAATCAATCAATTTCGTAGATAAATAAGAAAGAAAGGAAGAGATTGGTGGATTTTTTTTGGATGAGTGAAGAACCCTAAAACCCGATAATTTTATGATAAATTGTTGTTCAATTTAGGTTTTGATGAACCTAAATCTTATCATAAAGATAATATTTCAGTTAAAAACATCGAAAGGTTCCAAAACTCGATCAAAATCACTCCAAATTTCAGATTTTCAGTTTACCAAAGTTTCCTATTATGAAAAACGAGTTTTATCCGCCAATAGCACAAAATCAGGCAAGTTTCATGTTTTTTTGACTGAATCTTCCTTTTTTTCAACGATTCTTGTTCACCCAATGGACTAGCAGCTACTGTACCATGGACTCAGGGCCCCTCGGCCTCGGTAGTGGGTTGAGGCCGAGGCTGAGTCGAGTCGCTCGAGTTTGAAAACTATGGTCAGAAGCCCCAATATAAGTATGCAAAAAATTTATATAAGGTTGCAACCTTAAAATATAGAAATAATGGTGCACCTCAAAAATCTATCGGAAAAAGTTGTTTTAATGTTGAAAAGCCCTCTAATTGATCATCTTGATATTGAGATGTATGAATATGAAATAAATAAATAAATTTAGTCCCAAAAATAGTGCATTGAGATATATGAATATGAAAAAAATAAATAAATTTGGTCCAAAAAATAGTGCATTGAGACATATGAATATGAAAAAAATAAATAAATTTCGTCT